TGGCATAGCGCAAGGTATGTATGTCATAATTCAACTTCTCCCATTCCTGTAGACAAACACAAACACTTCCTAATTAAAATATACTAATGAGGATGCAACTTACAACTGAGGGAAATGATATTTCTGCAGTGTATTCAATTCAAAAAAGCAAAAATGTCAGCCTCATAAATCAGCAGAAAGCTATTTACCAGTCCACAAAACAGTCCACCCACACCTTCCACTTAAGAGCCGTCAGTTTTCCTCAAGCTTTATGAATCGCACATGTATGAATAACAAAATGAATGATGGCTGAATCCTGTTTAGTATTGTCATGACCACAGAGCCATTTTTACTTTTTGTTTCGTCAGACACTTATTATTCTTTAATGACCCAATGTCCTCGTAGAAAGGTATATTTTATTTTATGGGTTTAATATTTAGCAGTTTGCTTTTTGGACGTGTTATTAGGAGCTTCTTGTGTTAAAGAGTTGTCTGTGTAAATTCTTAAAAATTGTGTGTGATTTTTAACCTGCAGGCAAGTGTGTTTAATGTTGGAAACTGTAGAATCATTGTGGTATTTACTTTGCTTCAAACACAACGGCCCATCTAGTTTGGTCAAAACGGGGGTCCCAGGTTTTGGACACAGTATAGAGGGGTGGGGGGCTACACCCTCACAGTTCATTCATCTCTTGTTCCTGTTTTACTTTGGAGGTTAGTTATGTCCTATTTCAATCCCCCCTCTGTCTCTTTGTCTTGATTGTCTTCACCTGTTCCTCATTATCTAGTGTGCCAATCCCAAATTTGTAGATTGGGCGGGACTATTTATACACATGTGTATAAATAGTCCCGTCTTCTTGTTGCAGCATCGTCTGTGCTCTATCAGTGTAAGTTTCTGCCATTTTGTGAAACACTTTTGCTGCTGTATGTTGGATTACGTGTTTGTTTTTTTTTTCTTTGTGATAAGCAGTAGGTGACTGAGTTAAAGAAATAAAAAGAGTTTAGCTATTAAAGTTGACTTTATTAACTCTGTCTCCCATGTTTTGCACTTTGGCTCCTCACACGATCCACACAGCCACTGTGTTTGTCTGGGAATGAGTTAAAAGTCCACTCTTAAAAATTGAAAGTTGTCTTTAAATTATACAGAAAAAACAGATTTTAACTGTAAAGTATACAAAGCACAAAGTTGACAGAGTGTTATGTCCTACTTCATCTTCTAGATAGCCCCCCACCCCTTCGGCCCCCACCGCTGTGAGGACTCTTTAATGTTTCAGGCCTGCTGAGTTTTTTGTTTTTGTCCTAATATTAAAAGCAGTCCCGCAGCACGCTGAGAATTGTGCAGTGAATATTCTCTTTGACCGGCCTGCCAAGCTAATGACCTACATCTCCATCAAGGAGTTCATTTATTTACACAATGTGTCCACTGTGTCCTGCAGCCTGACGTGTGCACTAAACTCAAACTCTCACTGAGCTGCGGTCCTGAAATTCTGAGAAAACAGCCTCTGTCCTGATGTGTTCCCTCTGCGCAGAAATGAAGCACGACTCAAAAGTTGAGAAAAAACAAACAAATAAACTTTGCTTGCTAATGTCACCAAAAAACCCTGAAAAAATAAGGATGCAAAATCAAAAGTCGAGACGTGCTGGGGTTTGTATATCCACCACCTCCAAACACAAGCACACCGACAAAGTTATTTTGATGGAGTCTAACTAACAATTATACAGCAGCGATAGGCGCTGGGTGACTGAGTAAGTAAGGAGCACGTGGTCTCTGTGTGTCGTTTGTGTGTTTGTGTGTGTCGGTGCTCAATCACTAATTGACCCGTGGTCACATTTGCTGAATAGCTGTTTTTAGACAGCTGCATTCTTTCTCATTTTCTGAGTGAGAGCAACAGCTTTTCCTCTGGCCTCGCACTTTCTCAGCTAATCTAATCTAACAAAGGCTTTTATGCATATTCATAATTATTATGGCTTTTTTGTCAATGAAACACCATCCTGTATCTGTGGCACTATTATTATTTATTGACATAAATCAGGCTTCTATGATAGTCACCTGTGTGTCTGCCCTTTTTAGATTATTACATTAGAGAGATCCAGTGGAGAGCAGATGGAAATTTTCTGACAGCATCCA